GGCTAAGCCTACTTCACATCGTTATCTTGTTTTTCTCAAGATGGTCTCTTTCGCACCTTGGCTTCTGGACTAAACGAGCTACGCAGTGCCATCTTCTCCAAAGCCGTGCAAGCTTCCGTACGCCAGGTTGGCCTTGAAGTCTTCCAACACATGCATCATCTAGATCTGGGTTATCACCTGAATCGACGAACTGGCTCAGTTGGTAAAACAATCGACCGTGGCTCACGAGCCATTCAGTTTGTGCTGAGCGCCCTTGTATTTAACCTTTTTCCAACTGCTATTGAGGTTGGCCTTGTGACTTGTATTCTAGTGAGACAATCTGCAAAATACTGCTTTATTTACTTTTGTTTATCTGCCATTTTTTATTATTTCTATACGAATTTTATAACCCAGGTAAATACGTAGGAAGTTGACACTGCCAATTGACTTGTATATCTTTTCTTATCTTAGTACATATTTGTCGTATATAAGTAGGGTTTAAAGACTACCGGTAAACCATACATATGAGAACTATTCTCCCTATTTTGTTTAAGGTGATGAACGACTGTTAATTGAATTTACCCACAATGATATGAGTAGAGTTGACGTATCCATGAAATTTCACACATCCTTGCTTTCCCAGAAGGTATTCTCATCCAGAATAGACTGCATTTCGACCTCACATAGATCTCATCAGCGGGACCCAAATCATGACAATGTAGCATATAATCTCGACACGCTAATTACTACGCCACATTGCCACAAGTGTCTTTGGGTCACAGAGCAGATGTGAATTTCAAGGAAGGCCAATCATTTTCCTATATCACATTAGGTGCTTGAATTGTCGATGAAGAAAAGTTGTAGTTGCTATAGCAATCGACTACATTACTTATCATTTGTAAGTAGGGTTTTTAGATTACCAGTAAACGTAAATTAACGTGTAGAGATTACGCGCTGCACTGTCATGGCTCGAGTCCCGCTGAGGGTGCTGATAAGACCTGGACGAGACCGAAATTGTAGTTCACTCTAGATGAGAATACTATTTCGGAAGCAAGGCCATGTGAAATTCAATGGAAACGTAAGGTCTATCCATATCATTGGGGGAAAATTGAATTACCAGTCATTCATCACCTTAAACGAAATTGGGTGAACATGTCTCATTTATCTTAATACTTACTTAAAACATGAATTCTAGAGATTAACGCACGTTATACCATTGGCATGAACCTCTTTAGAGCACACTACTCCATTTTTTCCACTTTTTATGGAAAAGGAAAAATAAATATTTTTCGCCACGACTGAATTCAACTCAAAAGGCCACACTTTTGTGGCATTCCATTCTTGCTGATTTAGCATTAATGTGAACTTATTTCAGAGGTGTTTCTCTTGCCTTAAAGTACTCTCATGCGTCAGTTGGAGGCTTAGAACATATACATCAGCGACGGAGAACAGATAACTGACGGCTTCAGCTACCTAAGGTGCCAGTCGCTCGGACGAATGCAACACACCAGAAGCTTTCTTCAGCTTCCTGTGAGGCCGGCCAGTGATTCTTTATGTCGTACATTTTCAAACGAAATTAAGATGATCTTTAAATGCTTTCTATTTGTCATAATTTGATTACATAGCCCTCTTTATTGTAAATGTACTTCACAATATGCTTGAATTTTATTTAATATTATGGAAACTTTCTAAATAATGTGGGTTAGGTTAGGACGAACTGGCTTCATTATTCTCACATTAAACTTAGTTATAATCATCATAAATTATAATCAGGATTAATAAATACTTGCAATCAAATATTCTGCTTTCTTCGCGTTTTTCGTGCGGACCTAAGCGCCTGAATCACTTTTAAGGGTTTACCTGTTCATCGTACTTCGTATATTTTAAATTATATTGAATAGCTTGCCGCAACTTTAAAAGATTCTTTCTTAACTTACTATATGAGCTTCCTTTACTCTATTTCGTTTAAGCTGATGAAGGAGTCCTACTTCCAAGGAAAATTACTATGCCTACAGATTGAGCAGAAATATGAGTTTCATATTAATCTGTGTAAGCATGCTGAATAGGATTTGAAAATTCATAGAACATTGGGTTCCATATTTTATTGTCACAGGTATTGGTAGTCATATCGCCTATGATGAAGTGAATAGTAAATTTGGTTTTTCTATTTAATTTCGTTGTGCCATTTAGCCCATA